ACAGTAGCACCAGTGGTAGCGGTAGCCAGTACATGAATGACTCTAATCCTGGAGCCAAAATGGAGGCCGCGATGGCTCTCCAAGCTGCAAGGAACAACTTCTCGTCAGCAGCCTCGTCTTCGTCTTCTTTCTCCCCGTCCAGTTCGTCTTCTGGTTCTTCGTCCTCCACTTCGTCAGCAGCCTTCTTCCGAGATGACACCACGGCCAACATGGCGGCTAACCTCATGAGGCCCGCCTTCGGCCAGGATCTATTTCAGGTGAACTATCCTTCCCACAAGTATTTGATTTGTGATATTAGTTTCTTCATTAATCTTTTTAATATTTCATTTGATTGTTTATTTTGGCATATTTTTTCTGCACCCCGAGACCATCGACTAGTGTCGTGTTTCTAACCGAGAAATGCGAGATCAAGGTCTAGTCCAAGGTCTGTATAAGTACTTATATAGACCTTGATCTAGTCATTTCGGGAGTTCCCTTAGGTGATGAGGCCTACTCGTATGACGTCACGCGGAGGTGGACTGAGAGCGGGGGGGGGGGGGTAGAGAATGGTAGGGTGGGGAAGGAGATAATAGAAAACGGTAACCAAATTATCAAATACTTAAGTAATTTTAGATGCCGGGATATTGAACATTTGCACATTGGACCCATTTTACAGGCGATGATTATCAGCGATTATTTGTAGGCCTATATCGATATTTTACGTGGATTTAGTTTTGTAATTATCATACCGTAGCTTAGATATGGTATAATAAAGAAGTAAAATAAGCACAGAAGACATGGCATATTTAAACACCAAATGTTTTTTTGAAGAATTTATTATAAAACGAATCATACAACCAACATATCACAACACGCACTGTATAAAATCAAAGAGAAAGAGCTTATAGACCAGGAGCCCCGGGGTCTGAAAAGCATACCAATTTTCTTGCATATACTAATATTCCTAATGACTTGGGTTTCCAGGATGTGGGCGTCTGGAATATTAGTATATGCAAGAAAATGAGTATGCTTTTCATCCGGTCTGACCCCCCCCCCGGGCTCCTGTCTATTATATATATATATATATATATATATATATATATATATATATATATATATGTATGTATGTATGTATGTATGTATGTATGTATGTATAATATATGTATATGTAGATATATTTACACATATATATATATATATATATATATATATATATATATATATATATATATAATATATGCCCAATATTAATGATAATAATACTACTATTACTACTACAAATTATAATGATAATACATAAACATGCACATAAATATACATATATAAGCTAAATGACAATAAGTACATAGTCTCTAGAGTACAATTTAATGGACTTTATTTTTGGTCTTGCGAGATTCATAAATATTATTCAAGATGCGCATTCTGTGAAATAGGTGCGACGCCTAACATATTTCAGCCTTTTATCGTAGTCTGCTTTCTTAAAATATATACTGCAAATTCTTTCAGCTTCACAATTCACCCTTTTCTTTCCACCTAAAATTACCCACTCTTTTCACTCTCCCTCCTTTGGAAATCGGTGATAAAGAATATCCTTAGGGCGGGCCCAAATTCTGCATCCAACCACTGCATAGTTTTGAAAATCTATTAGGTGGTGAGTTCAAATACGAACCCGTAAACAGAATTTGAAAAAAGCCACTGTAACCTTTCTAAATTTGAACATGCAGTTACATGTAAAAGTATATAAAAGATGCCATATTGTTTACAGGGCATTGATGCTTTTTGCGCGCGTCTGTCAGCCAAGCGAGCGAAAACGTGAGGGAAATCCTTACGGCTCTACATTCCATTCAAGGATGATCACATATTTGGCGTCGAGAGGGACGAATTTGAGTCGCGACACCTTACTGTTATAGACCTCTTGTGTGATCATTTTCGATGTTAAGAAAGAAACAAGAGATAAGCGCTTTTTTTTTTAATAATACAGACAATACCATAACTGATACTTGAATTTTCGCTTCAATTTACGTATCAAATAGTCAACCCTCGATATATCTTTATTAAAGGCATAATCGCACGGCTGTGTTATATCTAAAATACGCCCATCTTACCCGTGCAGGTATTCTAGTGTTGTAGCCTTTGTATATTAGGCTTGATCCTGCATTTGCACTGACTGAAGCAGGACCAAGGGAAAGGGAAATTATTCAGAATTCGGAAGCCAGAATCAAATTAGTCTTTTTTAATGTACTAAGAGATATTAATTCTTCAGTCTATCAAAGCATTTCACAATCATTCCAGAAAGATGTTTGAAAATGATTTGATTTCAGAAATCCTGAATGATGTCTAACACGTTCAGCTTGGAATGCACTTGAATAATGAACTTGAGCACATAAGGAATGGATAGTAAACAATTCATTTCTCAAAACCAAATGAGGTTTTCTCTCATGCCAAGAAAAATACAGCCGTTTTATTTGGTCTTGAAATTTCTCTATTCAAATGTTTATGATTAACAGAAAATGTTTGACGAAGAACATGGAACATCCACAAATTACAATGGTTCCCTAAATGCAAAATGTCTGATTTTTCTCAGTGGATTGTTTCCACAATTTTGTCATTGAGCAGTTTATGTTCTACCCCTACGACGTTAGCCATGAAATTAATTGGTTGTTATGTGGTTATGAGGTCAGAAAAAATGGTAGCTCTGATGCAAAGGCTAATGCAAGTCTGCTGCTAATGAGGTTGATCTTGAGAGTGAAACTTATGGAATGTCAGCCCTCATAGTACTAAATGTGCATATTTCCAAAGTATTTTTTGAATATCTATTAGGTGGTTAGTTCAAATAGGAACACGTAAACAGAATGCGAAAAAAAACACTGTAATTTTCTAAATTTGAATATGAAGTCACCTTTAAAAGTATATAAAAAATACCATATTGTTTACCACAATTTGTAATCATTAAGCCTTGGATGCTGGAAAGTACAACACAACGGGAAGGGTGCTTGTCAGTATAATGGATTTGAACCCATGGTTCTGAAGGTGAACCAAGTCCGAAATATTGCTTCTGCACAGTAATACCCATATTATATCCCATGTGTTAACCCCTTTTATTTCTTAAGACTGATAGTTATAGTTACAGCATTTCATAGTTCCTTAGGATTCATAATGATTTTAGTTTGTAATCTATTATACCCTTTTACTTACTTTCCCAGGGCATACATGACGTTTTTGTATGCTGCATGTGTATTTGTTACGATTATTGGAGGTATAGAAAGCTGAATTGGATATAGAAAGTAAAATGCCAGAATATTCCACTTACTTGGATTGAGAACATATTCGTGCCAAGAAAATTGATCTACTGTTATTCTGCATTTTTAAATTGACATTCTTAAAAACATTTATTTTTAAAAAGATTACTAACAAATTCATCTGTATACTTTTAAAAATACCAGACTTGGCTCTATGAAGATAGATTTGATAAGATTCTTATTCATATACCATTTAATCACAAATGTCTGATGACTTTAATTCCTTGACAACATTTATCTTCCAACAGGGCCACATGTTTGCAGGTTCAGCTCATGCCCAGGGTGCCATGAATCTACAAGGTGCCCAGTCTTTCTATCACTACGGTGCCCAAGGTCTTCACCCATACTATATGACACCAAGATAACCAGTTTTTCCACAATGGCTTTTGAGCTTAGATTGAGTGAGGTATATGATGCTGTCATTTCACCATTTCTTTGTGATTCATCTGCCAACTTTTTCTAATGTATGATGTCTCCAGCTGTCAGATATCTTTTTTTTTAAATACTCAAAACCAAGAAGTAATTTTGTGTAAGAGGATACAGCAGGGAATATTTCCTAATACAGTATGTATTTCAAGAACTGGTAATGCAAATTTGGAAACCCTGAAATGTATCGGAAAAAAATCAGCTGGAATAGCATATCACGGAAAAGTGGATCAACATCAGTTACTGAGTTCAGGACACAAGTTCTGAGCTGTTAAAGTGGGCACAGGTTGAATTGCAGACCAGTGAAGCTTATGATAAAAATGCTAAATAATGCTGTACAATTTCCATAGACATATACAGGAATTCTTGATAATGAATATAAATCTTGTGGCACAAGTTTACTATACAGTAATCCAAATGACCACATGGTTAAATAGCTTAATGGAGAAGCAGCAGCCATTGGAGAAGCTATTGTACTAAATATTCAGTTATTAAGCAAATCAATGGAGCTATGCTTATGTTTTACGACAAGAGGTAGAGCAATATATTTTACAGATGTACGAGTATTTTCATGGTGGGGTATTTCTTATTTGTTATTTTTTATTATTATTTATATGCTTTGTAGCCACAATATATGGCTGATGTTATTTTTTGTGGTTGTGGTTTCTATTTCATATGAATAAACCATTTATTCATAAGAAGTGTGTTTACAAGAAATATAGATGTAGAAATGATTCTGTATATACAAGCAAAAACAGACATAAAAATGATTTTGTAAATATGCAGATTTTTACATAATTTGTTGTCAGTGTAAAAAATGAATTTTGTGAAAATTAAAAAAAAAAGCAATATGATAAAATTAGTAACAAATAATCACTATTTATTATAAAATGTAATCTAAATGCATACATTTATTAATATATTATGTTTTTTTAACATAAGATGTGCAACCTATCATTTACATATTTTCATAGACGATTATCAAACTACAATGCCCAACTATAATTTCTTCTAATACTGCATATAAATGCTGATCTGTAACTGTATAATTCTTTTGTCAAAGGGTTAATAAATCCAAATTTAAAAAAAAAATCATTTATTAGTAATACAGAAGCAATACCTTTAAGAAGGAAAAGTTAAAATGGAAGATTTCATTATTTGTAAAATGGTCTGAAAACATTTGGCCTCCTGACAGAGTTAAAGAAAACTCTATATTATCAAATACCTTGACAATTTACCCATTGTCATTGGGTACATGTACTGCCTACTGTAGTTTTGTTTTGTGAATTTTGTTTACAGATAGTTGCACAAGCACTTCAGCACCAAGGAGTCCATTAGGAGGCCTAACTGACCTCACCTGTATTTATGGGGATTTTTTTTTTTTTTTTTTAATATTATTATCATTAGTAGTAGTAGTAGTAGTAGTAGTAGTAGTAACATTATGATTATTCTCATGTTATTAACAACACTAAAAGCAATAAAAATAAAATAAAAGTTTTCCATAAATCAAGGAACAGGTGAGATCTGTAGGGTTAGTGACTAAGTCCTTGGTGATATAACCATTTGTTCAGCCAACTATGAGTACACTAAATTAATAAACTAAAATCACAGCATGCATGTACATGCCATCCCGGCATCAATGGGTTAATGTGAACACAATGCAAGAAAGTATACATCATTCATATAAATAGTTTGTTTTTTTTTAATAAATTTCATCTACCTCAAAGCCTGCTGAGATAGCTATTACAATTATATATGTGCATATACATTATCATATTCATATATGCATAAATTATGTACTGAGAGCTTTCAAACAAGACAAGTATTAATTTACCCACTTCATTCTCCTAATGTAAGCTCTTCTGCTGATATAAAATGCTGTCTTTAATGGTTGGCATCACAGACTAGCATTGGACAGACCTAATTTCAATATCCACATCATAAGTACTAAGTGGAGTCTAAGAAACAGTATTGTCTGGCCATTACAGAAATTATGCCATGTAAGATTTTTAACATTTATGTTATGAAATTATTGCAAAAGTTTTCACATTTGCAAATTTTAATCCACAAGAAAGACATGGAGCTTAAAGTTCACAACGTGCAGGGAGAAACAACTCAAAAAAAGGAGAAATGAGGAGGAATATCTGGTTTTCTCAGTTTTACACAGGTGAGTAAACAAAGTCTGCAGAACATAGACATATGGAGCACTATAGTACACATGTAAACAAAGGAAAAGGCAAAATGCCAGGTTTATTTTGCATTATCCTCTTTTTTCCTTAGCACACAAGTATATCCCCTTTTTTCCTTAGCACACAAGTATATCCCCTTTTTTCCTTAGCACACAAGTATATCCCCTTTTTTCCTTAGCACACAAGTATACCTTTGATCATGATATTGTAACTAAAGTATCACTCTTGTCAGAAATCATCCCTCAAAAAGTAATTAAGAAATAACAGATATAAAGAGAAATATCAAATGAAACAGTCTGCACTTGAAATTTTATTCTGAGATTCACATAAAGTATTCAATTTTAGGGGAACATAAGAATTAAAGTATATGCTTTCGTAACTAGATAAATATAACAGAATTTATTCTTGGAATCAGAAAATGCAAGCACTAGAGATCCATGTCATCTGTAATTTACCTGTAAATATTTGTTGTCTCACAATTTCAAATCTGTTAGACTGAATTCTGTAGCTTCCAATACAAATCTCAAATATTGTTTTTCTTTTTGGCTCTAATATTTACATTTAGGAAGAATATAATACTGGCAAGACATCACTTGACTACATCAAAAGTCATAAACTTACAACTTTGTGGCACCTTTCACAAAATGACATTGTACATAAACCACTGACACACTTTTTACCATTCCAAAGAGACTATTTTCTTCCAAGTATGGTTTGTCAAGCTTGAAAAATATAAGATTTATTTTAACCATTCAAACCATCACAAAATTTACAAATGAAGATAGAAACTCAAAGAATCAAATAAATATATACAAAATATATATATGTATGATATAGATATATATATATATTATTTATAACAATAAGTACAACATCAACCACATTTTATTAAATAATGTATCGAATTGCACTGAATATTTATCTTTTTAGTAAGCTGGGGAGCTATATTTAAGAAAAGGAATAACATGTTAGCAGTTTAGTTCTTTCAAGAACTAATCAGAGATAATGAAGGAAGAAAAAAGCTTATAGATTTCTATCAATTCTTTGTCCATTACTATTTTTATCATCTTTGTGAACTCACTTTGTAAACCCACTCTATTATCATGTAATGAAGAAGTATTTACTATAAAAAAATGATAATGAAAATTCTCCTACATTCTTAATCTCATATCTGAAATAGCTGATTATTAGATATCAACATTACTAGAAAATATCAAATGTGTGCATTAATTTGAGATTTTAATCTCTTGAGAGAACAACAAAAAAAGCCATCTCAAATGGAATCTTATACTTCAGTCTTTGAGATCCTCTATTAAGCAAGTACTAATCTGGAAGGTTAGAAATATCTGTTCATAAATCTCACTCATTTCTGAGATGAATTTGCAAATGGAGTATAACTAGATAAATCAATATCATTCTCTATAATAATGTTTATAAAATAAACCTTATAAACTTTTTTAGTAGCAAAAATAACACCAGATATATATATATAATATATATATATATATATATATATATATATATATATATATATATATATATATATATATATATATATATATATATATATATTATTATAGAGTTTATATATATATATATATATATAT